GGAGGGGAGGTAAGGGAGAGGGGAAGGAAGAAAAGAAGGGGAAGGAAGGGGAGGGGTAAGGGGATACATCAGGGCTATACGGGATACCAGGGCCCTGCCTATTTTATTATGAGGAGGGGAGAGAAAAGGAAAGAAAAGAAAAAAGACAAGACAAGAAAAGGAGTCAAGGACTGCTACTTAGCAAGAGGTCTGTGAACAAGGCTCCCTTCAAGGGTCTCTGCCACAAAGTAACTCAATATTGCACCCCAGTTACTCTTAAACTTGAAACCAACTGTATTTGAAAACACCTTGTGGTTTATATTTTGGGCTACTGGCTTTCTCCCATCTGCACTAATGTGGTTTTAATACATTTAGAATGTAGTTTATGAAGACATGACTGATCTTTTTTGGTACTAAGATTTTTACAATACCTTAGATTTCAATTATGTTACCAACATTAAACAAGTATCAAAGATTCTTCTGTAAAGAACTTGCAGAGAGCCCAAGAGGCCCTTCCTAGCCAGCTGGAGTAGAATGTGCCCTTTAATTTTAGAGTACCTACAGCATCAATCGGGCCAGATCCCAGACTCCCTACCTCACACCACACACACACACACACACACACACACACACACACACACACACACACTGGGAGTTCCTCAGCCCCTGGTACTTGCTGCATCCCCTCCCCCAGGCATCCTTGATCAACTCTCCTAACTGCACTGACCTTCTCACCAGACAGTTACAGACACAACTTCTGTACAGCATAGAAGTAAAACAAGTTTTTTAGCTCAGGGTTCCTCCATGTACAAAATTACATTAAAGCAACAGGGATAACAGGATTGCTACAAAGAAAGAGGCAGTGACCAGCTGGTCGTACCAGAACAGGAAGGGAATGGGACAGCCACCTCACCTTTTCCTTTCCCTTAAGCCACGAGCCCATTGCCAGCATCCTCAGCCCCCTCCCTGGGGCCCAGACAGGAGCAGCAGGGCCGGGCAGAGCATCCCAGAAACACCTCCTCATTACCACCCACCACACTTGCTCCACATACCCAGCAACTCATATTAACACTGTCCCTTTGTCAAGTAGATTCCACTGAAGCTGGTGTCAGAATGGGAGGGAGATGGAGGAAAAGAGAGAGGGAATTTCATTATGTGTGGAAAAGAATGGTCTCGTTTAAAGACATGCTGGGAACTCAGCAGTAGGATACTCGGGGTGGTGAGGGCATTAGGATGAACAAGGCTATGACTGGTTTAACCCCAAAGGAGCAGCCAGTGGCTAAGCTGCCCATGTTCATGGAACAGCACAAACTGTAGTCCTCCCTGAAGGTGGAGAGTGGAAGATGCCTGAGGGTAATTCCTGGCCAGCTACTAAGCAGGCCACCCTTCAGGGTGAGGGGGCACATCAGGGCTATATGGGGTGCCAGGGCCCTGCCCATTTCATTATGAGGACCCTGTTCCAATGAGAAAACAAGATGGCAGCTGATGCCAGGGCAAAAGCCAGGCAGACAAGGAGGCAGGCAGGAGGGAATCTGGAGCTCAGAGCTGGGACAGAGCCACATCCCTGGGTACACGCAGGACCAGCTTGGGGAATGGAGATTGTAGGGGACAGTCACTGCAGCCAGCTGGGGCTGTGACAGGCAGGGACACAGAGGTGGGGTACATCTTCAGAAAGCCTCAAAAGAAAAATAAAAAAGTAGAAGGAAAGAAGCATGTGTGGGTGGAAGCAAGGACTTGTGGGGCTCTAGGCAGTGGAATAGAAGCAAGGACAGCAGCCAGCAGCGCGAGTCCGGCTGCACCGTGAAGATGCAGAATAGCAATCTGGTGGATTGCTGGGACTTCAGTGGCAGCAGAAAGCCCGTGGCTTTCCGGGCTGCAGCATCACTCACCCAAGGAACAAGACGATGTATTTTTCCTCCATGTTGGGCAAATTGACTCCATCCTCCGGTCTAATCGATCTGGGGTCCAAGTGGAAAGTGAGCGTGTGTCCCCTCGCTGCCATCTTCCTGTGCACACTGAGACACGTCTGATGATCTCAGACTTTTTTCAAGTATGTGAGAAATGTTCACAAACATGGCCTCCATGCCAGAGTCTGCAGACCAGGGCACCTGGGTTTTATGTGTCAGTCACAGCATGACACGTGGCTGCCACTGGAGGTGAGAAGCAGGAAGGAGAGAAGAGAGAGGGAGGAGAAGTAATCGTAATAGAAATAATCTGAGATGCTGATCAGGACAGCCCTTGAAGGATCCCATGTGCCTCTTTTCTCTTTGCTCTGATGGGCGTCTGTGACCTGCTCCAAAGCACAAGCCAGGCCCTTTGTACTGATTAAGGTCACATATAGGACCCTGGCCAGCCCCACCCAGGACCAAGGAGGGAGGCGGGGTACGGTCCCCTCTGCACAAGGGTGTACGGAGACCTCCAGGCCCACAGGGGGCACAGCACTCCATGGTCAGAGCCCCGGATGCTTAGAATGGCCCGCCAGGGCTTGGCATGGGATAGCTGGGTCAGGACTGCGTAATCCATAAACTTGGAAAGGAAGATTCAGTCAACTACTAGCATGAGTGCTCTCCCTCACCTGCAGGAACTTAGCATTGCATCCCATTGCCAAGAGGGAGCTCCTGCCTACAGAGGGCTTTGTACAAGGTACTCGCATCCACACCAAGCCACAGGATACTCGGATTCCTTTACCCTGGAGTTGAGTTGAGGCCAGCCCACCAACTCTGTCCTCAGCTAGGCCAAAACTCTATGGACAATTCCTAAAGACCCCTCTTTGGCTCAGGATCTGAATTTCTAGATGTACAGAAAAGGTAAAGAACACCTATTCTTCAAGAACAGTGCTGCCTGGCATAGTGGCAGCACCTGTAATCCCAGCAGTTGGGAGGCTAAAGCAGGAGGACTGCTTATGGCCAGGAGTTTAAGGTCAGCCTGAAGAGCCTACCAAGACCCTGGCTCCAAAATAAAGAAACCAAAAACAGTGCTGAGTGGCAAGTTAGGGCAGGTCCTAAAGGGTTAGTTCACCTCCCAAAGATTCTCAGTGGTACTATGTATGAGTACATGTGACATTCCAGACCTCTCTGTTTTCCAGGCCAGCTAAACAAAGATGTGACCTATGCACAGATGTTCTCCTTCCTGAACTGCCTGCAGGTGAGCCCCAGCTGGCTCTAAGGCCGCATCACACATGCGCACAGGCACACACGGGCACACATGGGCACACACATGCACACACAGGCATGCACAGGCACACACAGGCAAGCGCACACATCTGTTACCCAGCGCTGTTCTTTGATCACAGTGTGTTTTCCTGCCCTTAGCTCAGCCCCTGCCATGGCTGGATGACCTCCAACAAGACACTCCGGACTCTCACCTCCGAGGTAGGCCTGTCCCAAGCCTCTGGACCCATATTTGATCATTCTTACTACATCTGTTGCAGTTTTTATTGGGGACAGGTTCCTGGTGGCATGGTGATCCCCAAGATGGTAAATAGCAAAATCAAGCTAGGAGCTTAGAGAACTGGGGGAACCCAGCCTCCTTCTGCTTTGTTCTGTGTCTGTCTCTCCTGTTTGTTTGTGTCTGTCTGTCCTACTCATGCACACACATGTGCACACACACATATTCATGCACATGAACACATGCATATGCGCGCGCGCACACACACACACACACACACACACACACACACACACACTGTGCAGCCTGCAGAAGTGCAGAAAGCAGAGCTGAGCAGGTTCAGCCCTGTGTGCACCTGGACTCCCTCAGGTAAATGATCTCCTCATGCCTCCACTGTTCAAGCAAAATGGTTTGCACTTCTTTCACAAATCATGAAAATTCTGTCTTCAAGAGATTTACTGGATTTTTAAATGTGCAGTTAAAAAACTTAGAGAACATAAGAACAACAAAAATCCACCCAAAACATGACACGCATATGTACGTTCAATGTGCTCGGTATAGACAGGTACATTTGGTTTCCCCTTTCATAGCACGAGAATGCACATCCATGTCCTCTCCTATGCATCTCAAATTTGACAGATCTCCACGTCATAACATAACCTTTTTGAGGAGCACGGTCTGTGAATGCACCATGATTCATTCAACCCTTCGTGTTAGACGTACCGGTTGCTTTCAGTCCTTTGCACACACTTAAAGATGGATGCATCTGTGTACGTCTCTAGCTCCTTAGGATACATTTTTATAAGCACTGATGGGGTCAAAACATAGTTCCAGGCTTAAGGATTTGATCCATGCTGCCAAACTGTTATCTAAAAAGATAAAATTAATCGACATTCTCACCTATTCCTGTCAACACACGGTATTAAGGCTTCTTTGCCAATTCGCCAGAGAAGTAGTATCTTATTATCTCAATTTGTCCTGATTTGATTCCAAATGAAAGTTCACGGTTTTCATACGTTCACTAGTCCCTTATCCATGCATGGCATGGAATGTGTGGAGCTGGTCTCCACTCACAGTTTGGAGGGAGGAAGGTGGAGTGGGCGGGCCAGGGTGGACTTCTTGTTCCACATGAGTTGTCTCATGGAAGCCAGGGTCTAAGCGTCACAGAATTCTCCACTGCCTTCCTCCACAGAGAGCACAGCAGCTCTCCGACACACTGAAGAAAATTGCAACTAGAAAGAAGTTTGCAAACTTCAATCTTCTCTACATGGACTTTGCAGAAAGTAAGTCACTTGTTTTAGGTACAGACAGGGACCAGCACAGAAGCTAGCTTGTGGGGCATGTGGGGCCGTGCAGCGAGCGATGCTTGGGTGGGCAGGCTCTTGAGCCGATCCCAACACCAGTAATGACAAAAGGCAAAGATAAAGCCTGAGCACCATCTAAGGAGCTTGGGACACAGCATCACCTCCCTGCTTCACCACCAGCTTAGAGCCTCTGAAGTCCGGGGCCAGCTGGAAAGAGCATCCAGCTGGCCAACTTCAGGCCAGTGGAATGCCATCCCTTGTGTTTTAAGTACATATTTACAGTGCTTACTTGGGGATTCCATTCCTCATGGGGAGCTGCTGGGAGCCGAGGGCTCTTAATTCTTGTTACTTCCTCGTCCTCTCTTCCCTGGCCCCTCCCCCATCTCTTGGGCCCCTTCTCTTTTGCAAAAGATCTATATCCCTGTCTTCTATCATCTGTCTTTTATTTTGCTCTTTATGAATATTTTTTGGTTTCCTGTATAAGACTAAACATGTGATATTTAAGCTTATGTGTCTGATAGTTCACTTAACATGGTCTGCAGGCACAGTGCTTGGCTTGCCAATGACCCAAGTTTGTGCATCTGTATGGCAGAGGTACTTCTTACTCCATTGCACATAAATACAGAGCAATCTCCATACAGATTTCCACAGTGGTTGTCCTAGTTTGCTTTCCCACCAGCAAAGTAGAAAGGTCGCTTTTGCCCTGTAGCTTCACCAGCACTCATTATTAATTGATTTGTTGATGATGCCCACTCTTCCTGTGATAAGGTGGAAGAGATGTTGAACTTTTTTTTCCATGTATGTGTTGGCCATTTGTAATTCTTCTGAGAAGTGTCTGTTCATTTAGTTGCCCATTTTTGGTTTGGATCTTCTTTTGGGAGAGGGTCTAAGTTTTCTTTTGAGTTCTTTATATTGTCAAGGGATTAGTCTTCTGTTCAAGGAGTAGTTCATAAAATTTTTTTTCCAGTTCCATGTGTCTGTTGTCTCTTCATGCTGTTGGTTGTTTCCTTTGCTATGAGGAAGCTTTTCAATTTGATATGACCCCCATTTATTGATTCCTATATTTCTTGTGGCGTTGCAGTTTTGTTTAGTAAATACTTGCCTATGCCTATGTCTTCAAGAGGTTTTCCTATCTTATCTTCCCAGAGATTCAGTATTTCAGGTTTAACATCTAAGTCTTTTGTCCATCTTAATTTTAGTTGAGTGCATTGTGAGAGATCTGGGTTTGGGCTGAATCTTCTGCATGTAGACGGCCACTTTTCCCAGCATCATTTGTTCAAGATGCTGTTTCCTCCAGTGTTTGCTTTTGGCCCCTTTTCAAAGATCAGAGGGCTAGGGCCACCCTGATAGCCCAGAAGACTAAAGAGCCTGCTTAGGCAGAGCTCAGCAGCCAGGGTTCGATCCACACCATGGCCATGCCAGTTCCACCCACAGGATGCACTGAGACAGCAATTGAGACTGGGCGTGGTGGCATGTGCCTGTAATCCCAGCCCTCGGGAGACTGAAAACAGGTAAATCACTAGGACTCTAATCTATGTAATGAGACCCTGTACACCCTGTAGACCCTGTCCTAAATACCAAATAATAACAATAATAATAACAACAACAATAATAATAAAGGATCACATGGTTGAAAGTGCCTGGGGACCT